TAGGTGGGTGGGTGATTGGTGGTCGTGGGTGGGTAGGTGGGTGGCGGGCAGGCGGACGGCTGGCGGCCGGGCTGGGTCGGTGGATGTGAGTGGGAGGGCGGTTGCGTATTTCAAATTTGTGCATGGGTGTCCGCCTGCCCGCCGGGCTGGGTCGGTGGATGTGAGTGGGAGGGCGGTTGCGTATTTCAAATTTGTGCGTGGGTTCAAACCCCAACAACAACCATTGAAAAAATGGTTTCCAAAAAAAAAAAACAAAAAAAACGCATCCAGCGGCCTAGCTCAGTTGGTAAGGCACGCAAGTGGCATTCAGGAGGTCTTGGGTTCAATCCTCATTGGCCTCATGTACCTTCCTGGGCAAGCTTGGCGCCCACCACCTAGAGATATGTCGTTGGTCCCCCCGAGTGGCATTGAGCAGAGACTGATGATGTTCATAGGGGGAGGGGACCGGAGGGGAGGCACAATGACTGGCCCATCGAAGAAGCTCGGTCCTGATSCTACCGGCTGACCCCTGGCCGGTATCGCCCACCTGTTGTAGCAGGTATCGCACTTGCTGGTGGGTGCAACTCTCGCATGTTCCCTCGTTGGAGGCTGGAGCACGGATGTGGCTGTTACGGGACCATCAACCTCCCCCTGCGGCCAATGGCTTAAACCACCAGTAGTTGGCCCAGCTATTGAAGCCGAGCCTGAATATGCTCTGCGCACCGATTTTTGCCGAGCCTGGAGGGGGCAGCACCCGATTTGAAGCATGTGGTGGCTGGCACAGGTACCGCCCCTTTTGCTGGACCTGTTGCCAGCAGCTGGAACGAAATGATAGCGGACTCCCTTATTTTCACTCGTCTACCACTCCAAGCCTTGCCAGAAGTGCAGGCAGATACATTCTGGAAAGAGCAACCGTGAGAAACTGGGTTACTTTTGTTTTTTGGCAGACAGTTGAATGCTCCCCGCTTCTCACTGGGAGTCGCATCAGATACAACCGAGCTCCTTCTCCTTTTTTTTACTTGTTAAAAAATAATAATAAAAAAAATGACAAACTATGTGATTGCCATCAGATTCATGCGTCGTAGGCCATAATTGCGGGAAAATACATTCTGGCAACTGCTTGTCCTTGAGTGGTCCAAGCGTTCCTGTGGTGGCAGACAATTATAATACTCCCGTTTCTCACGGGGAACTGCGGCAGATACAACCGAGATTCGTCTTTTTTTATAGTTATAAGAAAAGAAAAAACACTAATGGGAAAAGTTCACACACAACGTGATGACCTTCAGATTCATGCGCTATAGAGCAACATAAAGGGAAGATACATTCTGGCAAGTGCTTGTTGCGGATTGACACAAACCTTCCTCTGGTGGTATGCTGCCCGTGAGAAACAGGGAGTCACATCAGATACCCGATTCCTTGCTTCCTATAAAA